TCTGTTGGACTGTTTGGCTGGAGCGAAACGCCAGAGTTTTCAAGGGAGAGTCTTGTCCCGACTGGTTGCTTGTGTTAAAAATTGGTGATGCGGTAGCAGCTTGGTTGATCGCAGCAAAGAAGGTTGATTCTGAGGTCGCGAAGAATTGGACAAGGGAATTGCGTGCAAGGGTTGTTCCGATCAGGCATAACCCCCCTCCATCAGCTTCGAGATGATCGTTCAATCACATGGGGGTGGCCGCTATTGCAGGTGTTTTCTCTGGCATCGTTTCTGCCCGTTTCCCGTCCCTCCTCCTTGGGCGATTGGGAGATCGGGAAGGAGCTTCGCTGGCCGACGGTGGTCTTGGCGGAGTTGAGTCTTTTTTCCTTTTCCTTTTCTGGTTTTCTGTCGGGCTGGACTTCTGCCCCCCTCGCCCTTTGGCTCTTTTGTTTTTTGTTTCTTCTAGTTTCCCTCGGCGAGGGTCCTTGTATGCGTAGTTGTACTGGCGCTTTTTCTGTTTTTTCGTTTTAATCTATATCACCCATATCAAAAAAAAAAAACTATTTCCATAGTCGCGATTTTCGTGTACCCATGGGTAACAATACATCCAGCAATATTACTATTCCTAATCTATAACGTGTAGATCTTCAATTATAATACTAAACAAATATGCATTTTGATATAAACTAATACAATCATTCTTGATATAAATTCAATGTATCCAACACTAAAACATCCATCCATCGATAAGAAAAAGTACGTATAATACTATCTATATCATTCATCTCCAACTCTGACACGTCTACTAAACAATAAATAACAAACACAATCTTGTTAACGAAGAGGAAATAAGTGAAAGAGTAAATGGCGAATTGAGGGAAAACCTACATGGTGTGATTTCAGTTGCTACTCAATTGCATTTTGATTCTTTTTTTTTTTAATTTACCCTCACTCTCAACTCTCATTGACAGTTTACAATATAATTTTAAGGTTAACACTAATTATTAGCCAAACATTTCCCCGCATATCTTTTTACTAGCCAAATCTATTGAATTACGTATAATTAGCAAATTGTTAACTTCTGGTTAGCTATTTTGTTACTAATATTGACTAGGTTAACATTATACTGACTTGGAAGAGACATAGTAAACATTCCAAAATTTTTATTCTTTTAACTGAGAAAAAGGTTACAAATTTATTAACGGTAACATATAAAAATGCTAATATTTTGAAACATTACAAAATATTTAACTAATTATTAGCAAATCAAAAGGTTTGGCCAACAAAATAGAATGTGAAAAAGTTTTAGGTAATATTTGGCTAATTATTATCATATCCACTGTACCCAATCAATAGAAAAAATTTCCACATTAATAATTAGGTTGGAAAAGATCAAATGCCCTCAATCACGAATTTGATTTTCATTCCTAACCCAACCTAAATAGTCACTAATAATTAATCAACAAAAAATACTAAAAGCTAATCAATCAATCAAGATGCAAGAACACTATTATCTAAGCCATACCACGCAAGTAGCCTTGATATTGGTATCCGCATCACAGGGAAAGCCAGCAAACCTTCCTTCCTCTTCAAGCCCAAGCATCACATCGATAAAATCCTCCTCCTCCTCCCTCTCTACTTCCCCCGCCGCTCTCCGCCTCCGGTGCTCCCCTAACCACCCGGCGAACACCCCGTCCATCTCCTTCGCCGCCGCCTTCATCTCCTTCACATGCCCCCGAAAGTCAACCCACCCCAGCCACGGAATCGCATCTCCAACCACAAATATCCCCAACAACCTAAAAAACTCCCCCACCGCCTTCTTCAACCTCCCCGCCTCTCCTCCGCCGCCACCGCTCCGCCTCCCGGCCACCGCCCTCGCCACCACGTTGTACGTCACGTCATCAAACCACTCGTCCAGCTTCACCACCACCGCTCCTGTGGCGGAGCCAGAGGGATTAGAAACTCTCACGTGATTTGATAAAACGATAACAAACCTTTATTGGCCAAATCAGACTCTGTAAAAAATCAATTCGTCTCAATAATTCAAACTGTTGGGAGAAATTCAATAATTGATCTTACTCACTAACACGTAAATGTATTTTGCCAATGTAATAAATAAAAAATCTCGCTTATTATTAATTAATTATCTTGAATTCGTAATTTATTATACTATAAGCGATAATATCTCGAAAAATAATCTATATTCTGAAAAAAGAAAGCAAACCTGATTTCAATTTCTGACTCGGCCGCAACCGCACTGCCGTTTGAAGCCTCTGGATGCCTGTGTCGAGCTCCGCCGCCACGGACTTCGTTAGTAGGTCGAGGCGGCGGTTGGAGAGGAGCTCGGAGACGACCACCTTCCGCATCTCCCGCCAGTGCGGGGTCGAAGGGGCAAACCCGAAAACGGCGTCGTTGTAGCACATGTGTTTGGTTGCGGTGGAGCGAGGGCGGGAGCCGATTGACTTGTCGTTTGTGGTGAAGCACTCCCTGGCCACGTCAGCCGAGCTTACGACGAAGCAGCGGAGGTGGCCTAGCCGGACGGTGAAGGCCGGTCCGTTTGCGTCAGCCATGGAGCCGAGAGCCCGGTGGAGGAGCTTCCCGGCTCCGCCGAGGTGGTACAGGTGGCCGATGATTGGCCACCCGCCGGCGGCCAAGGGAGCTGACGACGATGATGACGTGGACTTGTTCTTGTTGGTTTTTAGCAGGGTTGTGAAGAAGTAGAGGCATGGTAGGAGGGTTAAGAGAGTGATTAGTAGTGCCATGGATGTGTGGAGAGATGGATCCATGGTTTGGCATAAGAATTGATGAGGGTGTAAAGAAGAGGATAGTTAAGATGCATTTGGTGGGTACTTGGAATAATTGAGTTATTGGAATTAGTTTATTTTTTATATGGTATTATAGTTGGTTTTTCATTGAGTTCATGTGTTCAAAACCTTACAAGCTCAATTAATACTTAACGTTGTTTTTGTTTTTAAAGCACGTGATATGGTATGCCTATGTAAACTTCAAATTCATAAATTTACTGTAGTTTAATGAAAAGAAGTACGAGGAAGTGGTTAAGGGTTATATGTAAATATCTTTCAACAACTCTGATCAGTTGTTTGCAACATTATTTACTATGGATTTTAAAAGATAACTAATAACCAGAGGTGGCAACTTTGTCTATGGATTATGTTCTGTGTTTTGTTTTATTGAGAAAGCTAAATGCACTTCATTCGTTTTGGATGCTAGATTTGATGTGGACATGTTTTCTACTCTTTTGTTTCTTGCTGAAGAAGAAAATAAGGTTCTTTTTAATGGTGATTTTAAAATAATTTTGTTTTTCATTTGTTTTTTGTGAGTGTCCTTATGAATTATCATAATTAATTCAAAACTAATTAAAGCTACTCTTTTGTCTCTCCGGACTATTCATTAATCATAGTATCTACCGACTTTGCTATCGCTTCTACATTTGATGCAAAACAAACGAAAAAGAAAAGAGATACTCATGGGATTTGAAAAAATATAACTTGAAAATATGAATTACATTTGTATTGACTTGATACAATGAGATTTTTCCAATAATAGCACGTTTAAAAAAAATTACAAAACTAGCACCAAACAAAAAAAAAAAAAGAAATAGCACCAATTTTAATGGAACGCACCCCACAGGTGCGGTTTACTTGAACGCACCCCTGAGGTGCGTTTTATAAGTAAACCGCACCCCTGGGGTGCGTTCCCAGCCACGTCAGCACAGGAAACGCACTAGGAAGGTGCGATTTACATATTCTGCGGAACGGTCTTCTAGACCGTTGGATGGAGGAGCGATCGGAGGGCGGAATGCGTGCCAGCTGAGCGATCCGCACCACGGATCGAGGAACGCAACCCCGAGGTGCGGTCAAGCCTGGGGAAGACCAAACCGCCTCGGCAAGGCTCGGTTTTGGGTTGGGCAAAATTACCCGACCCCCCCTGGAGGATGCGGTCTGTTGGGTATAAATACCCCCCCCCCCCTTCCCATCTCATTTCTTCACACCACAACCCATTCTTCCTTCTCTCTCTAGAATTTATCTCTCTAAATCCTCCGCTCTCAAAAGCCTAGGAAATAGTGGTCTGTTGGTTGCGGCTAAATCCGATCTGCCATCAGAAAATATTTCTTAGGTTTTTTCCTCAAAACTCGCCGAGCCGAATCTCTGTCCTAATTTTGGATTTTTCCTCAAAAACCACCGAGCCGAGCCGAATCCTTGTCCGAATTTCCCGAAAAAATGGCCGATTGGTGGCAAGGAGAGGGAGTTTATGTTGATGAATTTCAAGCGGTACGTACTCATTATTCTGGTTTAATTTTTGTTGTTGTTATAAGCTTTTTAAGTAATCTATGTACTAACCTCGTTGTTATTTTCTCGTAGGTTGGGGACGACATGGATATATACAACCAACGGTATTATCTCGAGCAAGGACCGTTGGATCCAATCGACTTGTACGACCAACCCAACCATCGTTCAAGGGATGTTTGGAACGATCATCCGGTACATACAATTCTTTACCATTTGTCCTTCTTTTATTTTGTTAATGTATTTAGTGGAATATAAAATAAATTTATGTTGAATTTTTAATCGTGTTGGTTGTTTTCAATAATTTAATCGAATACATAGCGCCACTTACTTCGACTCTTTATAAAGAGATGCACGTCTAAGGAAATGGGGTTTTAAGCGATTATCATATCCTCCCATTCCCTGGGAAAATCGGGTATTAAGAGATCCTCGGATCCCCCCTTTTTCTGTCAAAAAGACTGCGTTTCTAAGAAGATGTATACCTCTTCTAAGAGTCTAACGAGTGTTGCTTTGTATTCGATTAAATTATTTAAAACAACCAATACGATTAAATTATTTACCAAACAACCAATATGATTTATTTTGATGTGTACAAAATGAATTTTATTAATTTCAAACATTTGAATATGTATGTTTCTCTTTAAATTATTTATTAACAATGTCATTTATTTTAGTTAATTTAGTATGTTTGTTTTACGATAATATGTATGTATCTCTTTAAATTATTATTCATTTAGAATGTTATTATGCTAAATAATTTAGGATGTTTGTTTTATGATAATATGTATGTATCTCTTTAAATTATTATTTTCGCTAGGAGGCACAAACAATACTCCGCTACAAGGGTACGACCATATGCTCCCATTCCACCTAGCTATCTTGCCCTTTCTCAAAAGGGCACGGTTGGACCTGATTAGGCATTTTAACGGCATCATAGTTGATTGCCAACTCATCACCGCATTAGTTGAGAGATGGAGAAAGGAGACCCATTGTTTCAACTTTAGAGAAGGAGAGGCCACCATCATGCTAAAGGATGTCGCCATCCTAACCCATCTACCCATCGACGGCAAACCGGTGTGCGTGAGTGATCATCCCCCCGTGGATTGTGACGGTATGCCCGGTTGGGTTCATTTCATCCACAGTGTTTTGGGAGTGAAAGTACCAGTGAAGGGGTGCGTTGATGCGACCGATCGCATGCCACCAATGAGGAAACACCAAGTCTCAATTACTTGGTTGACGAAGTATTTTAGAGACCATTACGAGAGTCATCCCCTAACCGAGGAAAGTCCGGAGGATGAGAAGGAGAGATATGCTCGTGTCTATCTCATAGGCATGATCAGAGGAGTGTTCTTCTCCAAAAAATCAAGCAATCTCCTTAGTTTTGGATGACTTAGGATCATCCTCGGTAGTTGGGAGGAGATGGCAGAGTATAGCTGGGCATCCGCTTGCCTAGCTAATATCTACCACAACTTGTGCAATGCGTCTCTAAAAGCTGTGAGGGAGGTCGGCGGCGCAATATTCATCGTCCAATTTTGGGCTTGGGAGCATATGCCATGGATTGCAACGGTCCAACGTCCCGACAGGGATTGGCCAATCGATCATCCCCTAAGAGGTGAAGCTTATGGTACAAGGTAAACTTCTCATACCCTTCATGTTTTTCATAACACATTTTCCCTTGTGTTTTAGCTTATTGTAGTTTCATTTTTGTCTTATTAATAAGGTGGCTCGGACACACAACATGCGACAACCTTGCCCAACACAAGTTGGACGAGTATCGGAGGAGGTTTGAGCAACTTTGGGAAGGAGAGGCAACTTTTAGTACGCAACTGCCAACCCAACCGATCACGTATTAAGGTCGAACCTTAACCCAAAATTCGGGGTGTTACATCTTTCTTGTAGATCGTCTTCGATCCATACCCGGAGAACATCGTTCATTGGCATCTCCAGCAATTCCCCGGTCATATCGGGCAATGGTGCAAGAGGGTCCCTCTAATTTGTTTTGGGACCGTGGAGTGGCACTTGCCGGATCGATGCCTCCGCCAGTTTGGTCGGGAGCAGTGCATTCCGTTGGAGGTCCCCGATAGTCAAAGGGCCTTTCATGCCCGAGATGGTCGGCAAGGTACTCGCGATTGGCCCACGAACTTGGCAAAATTCATCACGATGTGGGAGAACCGACAAATGCAGGATATTGTCACTCCAGCTCAAGTGGGTCGAATGGGGTATCATGACCCAAATTATTGGCCCTTCATAAACCCAGCGAGTGGACCCCATATTGGGACCTCTGGCGGCTCCATGTCACTGTCGACCATCCAATTGTCGTCTGGAATGTGATTGTAGTAGGGGACTGGTACACGGTCAGGAGCCACCTTACCATCATGAGCTGAGTCTGACTCTGGTCCTGAATCATCAGCACCTTCAAGAGGGTCGGAGCTGTCTGCACTGACGTTGTTCTCTCCTTCTTCATCGGAGGGGTCACTAACTGGTGCTGGCAGGGCATCCTCCATATGATCCATCTCATGAAAGGCACCTTCATCAGCTCCATAATAGTAGTTGTGAAAACTACCGCTGCCTGAGTGGAAGTTGTACTGAGGTTGGTTGGGGAGGTCCGGTTGAACTTCTTCTTCATATGACGGGAAAGATTGATGATGACCTTCACCTTGCTCTTGGTACTGAAAATATGAATGAGGATCATGGTAACTTTGGTAGGGATGATCGCCATATAATTCACCTCCACCATGGATACCAGATGTTTGACCGTGTCCAGAATGACCTCCAACGCCTACGAACGGCTCGGTGTAAACGAACATCTCGGCTTTGGAAAGATTGTTGGAACTCATGAATTCGAGCATGACATCTACCTCATCCTGAGTGGTTATGAGATATTCCTCATGCCACAATAACCCACTTTCTCTGTTTGGATATCGGTACACCATACGATCAACTCTTCTCGTGCCATTCATGCAAGTAACGTTAGTGCACATTTGATGGAGGTCTTCAAGCAGCGGTCTGATAGCGACCTTTATCTTCTGAAAATTGCCACTGACGTAGGTGACCCCCTTTCCGGTCTATTCCGTGTAACCATTCCACCGTAAGCCAAGCGTGAACTTTTGGAATGCCATATGCAAAAAACGTAGTTCGGTTAATATCATAAAAAAATAAAATAAAAAATAACAATAAAAAGTAATACAAAATAAACTTACGAGTTAACGTTAATCGCAAAACTACTAAAGAAATATAGAGCTACAACAGAAAATTGAAAAGGGAGAAGGAGAGGTGTGAAGAGAAGTGGTTTTCCGGGAAGTCTTTTATAGGCAAAATCACTGTTGAGGTGCGGTTTTCGTCTGACATGCAGACCCACGTCTATTATTCTGCATGCATGTCGGAAATTAATTGACCAAAACCGCACCTTGGGGATGCGGTTTGTATGGAAAAACCGCACCTTGGGGATGCGGTTTCGTTTTGGAGAAACAAACCGCATCTACAAAGTGCGGTTTTGCTAGGTCAGGTCAAAACCGCACATTGGCCACGCGGTTTTTGTAGGTCAGACTTGAAACCGCTTGGCCAAGATGCGGTTTTGGTCCAGAATTATAAACTGCACCTTAGAGGTGCGGTCCATAAAAAAAGGTGCTATTAGTGTAATTTTTTTCGGCTGGGTGCTATTTTTGTAATTTTTTTTAAAAGGTGCTATTTCTGGATAAATCCCTGATACAATTACTTCGAGAAGTCATCATGTTAAGCTTTACATATTTAATTATTATTTATGATTTGCCTTATCAATACTTTTTAGTATTTTAACCTTTAGTTCTTACATAGTACTTCATCATATAATTTTTTTATTTGATTTTATGACAATTTCCGTTTTTAAGTAGGATCCTGACTATGACTCAAAAAGAAAAAGGAGAATAGTTTGTACGGTTGGTCTTACGGCTGCTTTTGCAAAATGCTACACTGACCCATGTGGGCCGAAAACGTGATCAATCCTATAAGTACGATTGGCCCGTACACATTTCGTTTATGAGAATCGACAAGTGGTGGAAAACTTCTCAATGAATTCTTTTTATGGTGTTATAGGTTTTAACTTTATTGTTAGATACTTTTTCATTGGCGAAACTCGCGTGTTCAATGCGCACTGTTTTCAAGTAAACACAAACACAAAGTCAGCACAATCGTCAAATATCCGCGGTCGAATGTCGGCGCCGTTGATTTGATCGATTACACAGAAATCAAGACGACCGTCAAATATCCACCGCCGGCGTCGGCAATTTTGAGTTGATCGATGCACCATTGACTTCTAATCAAACAACCGTTATTCGGTTCACCACCTCTCCAAACTACGTTCGAACGAGGGTGTTCGGCGAATAACCAGAAAATCGAACCAGGAGTGTTCTAAGTTACGTTACCTCTACTTCTATGGAGGTTCCTCTGGAGAGCTCCGCGACTACGACTACAAACTACGACTACGACTTTGCAAAGGATTTCTCTGACAAAGCGGTTCTACGAAACTAGAGGGAAAAACTGATAATTCTGCGACGGTGCAGTTTGAGATTTGATTTTGCCGTCCCGAGCTTCTCTCTCTTACTGATGTTTATACTGCCATCCTCTGCCCGTAGTCGTGGTAACCGCTTTTGCGCCTTTGTCTCCGACGTCTTCATTCCTGTCAACCGTGGGTAACTTCCTCCTTGTTGCGTGATAATCACGTGCCCTCGAAACCGTTCCTCTTTGCAGAAACTTGGCGAAACGACGTTGAGCTAACTCCTACAACCTTGTCCATGTAACGATGTCGTTTCACCAATACCACAACATCGCCTTTCACCAAACGATGTCGTTTTATAATCCAACTAAACTGCCCCGACCCGGTTTAACTAACGACATTGTTAGTCCATCAAACAACGTCGTTCTCTACTCTTGCGCCGTCGTTGGGCTTGGCGGGCCGCCTTTGGCCGAACTCTTACCCACTACCGAGGTGTCATTTTACTTATCCGCGGCATTGCTTTTCCTTAAACGACACCGTCTAAAATAATCATAAAATACTAATTCATTAAACCAGCCCTCATTGTTAACTCGCCGTCAAACTCTCACCCCTCAGCGCCGTTCTTAGTTAAACAACATCATTTTCTAGTCCCGCGATGTCGTTGAGCTTTTGAGCTTCCCGACATTGTTTTAAATTTAACACTGTCGTTTAACTATTGCGGCATCGTTTGGCCTACTCGCGGTATTGTTTTATAATCCGCGGTGTCATTTCTTTCCTCTTGCGGCATCGTTTTCAACTAAACGACACCGTCCTAAACACTCATTAAAATATTAATTGATCAATCTGGCCATCACTAGTCAAATTCGCGTGTTGACCAACGACATCATTAGCGCCAAAACGGCTCCGTTTGCTTTTCCTTTCGCGACATTATTTGTCACTTTAAACACTGTCGTTTGCTAGTACAGCGGCACCGTTGGGCCTACTCGCGGTACTGTTTTGAATTGCAACACTGTTTTGGCCGATTGCCAACAAAGCAGCTCTGTTCTAGCTTTCCTTCTCCTGGGCAACCTTGCGGCCAAGTATTTGGCCAAATTGACTTCCACTCCAAGTCTCCAATTCCCCAACGTTGGAGTTCCAGTAGTATTGGATTTTCTCCTCGCGCCAGCAATGTTGCCGCGCGTTCAGCATTTGTAGCCACGACAATCTTGACACACACACGGCTTGTCCACACTATTGTTTTGGCCAAAACTTTTATTTTTTATTTTTATTTTTTATTTTTTTATGATTATATAATCCAACCGCAATTGAGTTAGCCTGCAACGCTGTTTTCATCACCCACCAATTCTGATTTTTTTTCTTTTTACGGCCGTTTGCGCAGCCCCGCAGCACTGCTTCCTTGTTTAAACAACAGTGCTCTCTTGCAACGTTCTTAGAGCCCCAAACCTGTTATCCATTTTCGTTCCTTTTCCACCAAGGAAAGAAAATAAACGATCTCCAACTCTCTAGACCTTCCCTGCGGTGGCAAGACCTCAAGTAATCCTTCTCCATACAGGTTCGGGCACTTACTCTCTATAAATAAACAGCCCCGCTAACCCGATAATTCACATTCATCATTTTTGAATTACAGCAAAGCTTGCAGGCCGCCATCGATTTCTTCCAGCGCGCAACCCCAACTTTTGTCAACAATCCATCAAGACACCAACATGGCTCCTGGCGGTCGAGTACCTCATCAAATCCGGTACTGAATTTTCACGCCAAGCTCTTGTTTTTTTTCTCAACTATTCACTCCTGCTTGTGATGTATATATGTCATGAAATTCATCATTTGAACAACGTAGATCACTCGTACCTCTTCATCCCCGCTAGCCGAGATGTTCGTGCTTTACCTCCTGTGCGGCACGCTTCTATCTTTTCTGCTTACCTTGATTATTCCATGTACTATCCATGCGTGAACAGCCATTTACCCAAATTGCCTTGTCTCTCTTTAAATCGGGAAGTCGCCCCTCGACTCCTAGTCTGTATTTGTTTGGTCTCTTCTCTCGACAGGCCCCCTCCAGTTGACCTCGCGACTCATATATGCAGTATTAACGATCCACAGGAAAGATGGAGGAACCTGGATAACTCTCCCGCCATAGAACTTGACACCCTTTCATTAACGGACAAGGGTGAGGGTTTGCACGGTCCTGCCATAACCGATCGTGACGATGAGACCATAAACAAGCTAGATGTTTATCCTGTTGCCCAAGCCAGGCTACTCCTCCGTCACGCACCGACTCCGTTCCTTGCCCAGCAGAAACTGAAACGAACTCTCTCTTCCTGGGCTCTCTCTGGACAAGATTTTGTGAGATGGTATTGTCGCCTACTTGCTGATGAAACCACTACCTCTCATTGGAGAGATGCTGGCATAGATCGCTTCTTATCCCTTTCTGCCCATCCTCCCCTTCCAGATGCCGATTTATTCAAGGCTGCCATAAGTTTTTGGTCCACAGAATCCAATAGCTTGTCTTCCCATTAGGAACCATGACAGTCACCCTGCTCAACGTCGTCGCGTTAACTGGCCTCTCCCGTCATCTCTCTTCTACCATCGTTAGAATCCCTTTCAACCGTGATAACCCTATTCCCTTCGATCGCTCCTACCGCTCGCTCTACAACACCAATTCCCCAACTGACCCTGCGACACCGATCACCGATGGGGAGCGAGCCTACTTTATCCATTACTGGCTGAATAAATTCTTTCTATGTCCCGATGGCGGTCAACCAGTGCAAGCAATCAATTCAACCTACCAAATTGCCACTGGGGAATGCGATAACCTTGCTGAAGTGGTGTTATGTCACCTTTATCGGGGCATGTACCTGACCGTTCAACAGATCAAGAAAGCCACCGAGGCCAGACAAGTCACCAGCGCGGGTCCCCTTTGGCTACTGCAGTTGTGGTTATATGCTTATTTTCCCGCCGTACGGGGCTCGTTGCCTGCTCCCGCCGACATGGTTCACGATATCGCGATCTTGTCATACGGCCATTAATACGCCAAAGCTCCCCCACTTAAGAAGGACTTTGCTACATACTTACAGGTTTTTTACGAAGCTGGAGACATCGAGAGCTTTACTCCATTTGAAGCTCGGATGTTTGGACCTCCATCGTTCAAGCTTGCTTTCAACCAAAAACCGCTAGAAAGAGACGCTTCCCTCGGTGACTATAACTGGTATGTGGAAGAATGGGCTCGCTGGATAGTGGCGAGAGACATGCTCTTTGCCCCTGAAGCCTCGACCGATCTCAGCATCGAGGTCTACAATCCCCACTTTGCCTCACGTCAGTTCGGCCTAGTACAAAAATGGCCCATTCCTCTTGCCTTTTCAAAAAACTACCCGCGGCTATACTCGCGGCTCGCAGCACTCTCGGATAAGGATATTTCGGATGTGAAAGCGTGTTGTGATTTCTTGCTTCCCAATGCTTTTAAGCACTTCACCGCAACAGAGGGCGTAGTAACGCCGTTGTTCCAATTGGCCTGGAACGCCAAAGAGGTTCCATATTTTAACGATTTGGCGGCCAACGTCATCAGCCACATAACCCAGCGCGAGCGTGGTGCAGCTGACAATAATGAGGACGATGAGGAGTTCATCGTACCTCCTTTGCAAGACTCCGCAAAGCGCCGAGCCTGTAAGCACCTATTTCATCTTCTTATTTATCTTTATCTCGTGGTGCGTTATTTTATCCCATTTACACGGCTCTTCACCCTGAGCAGCTTCCGGGAGATCACCGGGTGGCATTCGTCCCACCAAACAATGTCGCCTGAGCCTAAATGT